CCCATCCCTCCTACCTCCCTCTCTCTCTCTCTCTCTCTCTCTCTCTCTCTCTCTCTCTCTCACACACACACACACACACACACACACACACACACACACATACACACACACACACACCTCTCATGCGTGCACGGTAAGCATTTGAATCACACACCAAGGATCTTCAGTCCAGACATTCGATCCACAGACCGAAGGAACTTCCCTTCCACATCAACGGCAACTAACCTCCGTACCAAAAGAAAACAGACAGTCAATAACCGCTGTATCTAGACAGAAAGATGCCCCAGATACGGCTATAATGACCGTAGGAATATATTCGAGGGAAGACGGTAGGAATACGGAACAAGCACATGAGAAGTGCAAAACTGAAGGAACCAATTAAGTTGGTTGTTGTGAAAAAGACTTTGCTTTTAATGATTTCGATGTCATCTGATCTGATTGACACTCGGAAGCCTTCGTTCTTTTTTCTTGTTTTTTTTTTTTAACTGATTGACAATACCATCTTCACCCGAATAGAACGCCCGGTCATCATAACTGCATTTGGCACAACTTTCAGTCCAGATGCAGTGATAATGAGCGGGCGCTTTATGCGGGTGAAGACGGTAGCAAGCTTAGGCGATTCAGTAGCAGGAATGAACTTCTGCAGGTTTTCTGTCTGATGGACACAAGCGAGCTTTTTTTCTGTCTGCTGCTTGCTTCCTTGTGAGACTCTTTTTTTTTTCTTCTCTCTTTTTTCCCCCTCCTCCTCCTCCCTTTTCCTTTTGAAAGGGCGACGGCCTTGAGGTATTATCACTGATCTGACCAGCCCCAGGTAATTCAGATCTAGCTTATTCTCTTCATCTGGTCGTATCTGGGGTTGGTCTTGAACAGCGTTTTTTTTCCGTTAAAATGGATTATATTATATTTACTATTATACTAATAATCTGTGTAGCACACCGAACATGTTCGGAGCTTTTCCGAACGTCCGAACATGTTCGGGTGTTCGGCCGAACGCTACCCGAACGTATTCGGCCGAACATATTCAAAAAAAAAAAAAAAAAAAACCTTTTTTTTTGGTTTTCGATTTTTAACTCGAGTTTGGTTACGAATTTGACCATACCTCCAAGGCAAAAGTTGTTTGTATTATTATTTTACATAACATATATTTTTTTCAGATTTTTGGAGAACTTTTTTTATTTATTTTTTTAATATTTTAATGTTCGCGTTCGGAGAATTTCGGCGCTCGTTCGCGTTCGGTCCCGAACGTTCGGGTTCGGTCACCGAACCCGAACACGACGCTACACAGCTAATAATTAAATAATTAATAATTATATGATATTTTTGAATGCAATTGAAATCTCATGTTTTGGCCCAAAATGCATGAAACTGAGGGTACTGCGTTCAGAAAACGCCCTACTGCAATCAGACTCGCTATCTTTCCCACTTCTCATGCATGCAAACAGGTGCACAGCAATCTGGCGACAAGCGCCCACTCAGAACTCTGAGATATGGTAGCCGAGAATACAGTTCACATACAAGTTCAGTTCAATGGCTATGGCGACACAGCGCCCACACAACTCTCTGTTCGCACACACAGGATCACCCTCAGGCTGGATATCCCACACACGTTACTCTGCACGCTATCTACAGCTATGACGGCTATGGCCGCTGCTACCCTGTCGCTATGGCTACGCTTCTTCTCTCTCGCCCACTTCGTCCTCGGGCTCACTGCAGACCACCTCGCACAAGTCGCTGTGGCAGCGCTTCCGCATGGCTCACGCAGGAATGAATGAATGGCTGGGCGCTGCCCTTTGATTTATACTTCTGCAGCTCGTTGGTCTGGCAATTTTTCCCATGACCGTGGTGCACACAGTCCCATGCGGTACTTGCTTGACTGGACTACGACTGACTGGGACTGGGACTGCTGACTCATCACGGGTAGACTCCGCCACTTGCCCACTTGCCTCAGCCTAAACATGGGCAACTTCGAAAGGCCACTACTCGGACCTTCCGGAAGGCCGTAGACTTGGCCTTTCGATACTGTAGCAGATACGACCTTGACCTTTCTGGACTGTAGAAGCTACGACCTTGACCTTTCGAGAAAGCTACAGCTACGACTTCTAGACCTGACTGAGACTCCTACTCGACAGGTCTACAGATCGAACCCCTGCTACCTACGGACCCTACAACAACCTACCAACTGTTACGAATACACAGGTCACGGGTTCAACTCTAGGGGTCGACACAGATACTACACACAGGTAAGGTGAGGACTAGGGATCGAGCCCTGGGATCTGCATCGGCTACTGCGAACTGGTGAATACCCTTTCACCTACCCTCTCGATGTATCTGGACTTAGATGAAGTCCACACACACCCCGGCTGTAAAACGCCGGACCCCTTGGATGTGTGTGGAGTTCAACCAAGTCCAGATACATGGAGGGGGTAGGGCATTTTCAGAACGTCGTACCCTCAATTTCATGAATTTTCGGCTAAAAAATGAGATTTCAATTTCGCTCGAACTTCAAAAAATATAATATAATGTCCATTTTAACGAAAAAAAACACTGTTCTTGGATCTCTATTTCAACAGTACATGCATGTACCAACTGCACTACGCCCATTGGTTTCCCTGTGAGACTTTTGAAAAGCTCGGTGAGCAAAAAACAACTGACTGTGGGAAGACAGCCCCCCCCCTACACACCTGCAGGTTCGGTCGATTCCTCCGCGTGGCATTCTCGAACGCTAGCGTAGGAAGATTCGCTGTGGTCGGTCCGAATATGTCAAGAACGTACAGCTGTCTTCAACACAGAAGATTAACACAACCAAACGATTCGCGCATCCATGCATTCAATCAATCATTCAGATGATTCAGTCGTCAAATTGCTTGCATCACCTCCTCATTCTGTTGTGGGGGGGGAGGCGGGGGGGGAAGAAAACGAGGAAAAAAAAAAAGCTTGCATCCACCTTATTTTTTACTTTTGTTGCCTTGCACAAGTTCAGCATGCAGTAATTAATGCTACCCTTTTCCCCCGAACACAACCGTAGGCAGAGAGGGAGGGAGGGAGGGAGGGAGGGAGGGAGAAGAGGACAACAAACGAGGGAGGGGCTGTGACAAACTGTTTCGTTGGAGTTTCACCGCCTCAAACGGAGGCTGAACCCTCTACAGTCTGCAGCAGAATGCCCTAACCTGATGATTACACTGTAAGTGACAATGATAATCCACCTTAACCCCGGTCCGCGGTTGTGGTTAAGCATCAACGAAACGAAACTGCCCGACAACTGATACCCCTCTGAGGTGGTGGGGACCACCAACCACTGCCCACAAGGTGTACCTGTGACGAAAATCGACGCAGACTATCACTCACCCACAGCAGATGGAAAACTCTATAATCAAGCTTCAAACAGGTACATTAATTACTGCCCTCAAGGTGGGGACCACCAACCACTGCCCTCAAGGTGTACCCCTAAAAGCTTCAAACAGTAAATTTGCTGAATTTTGTTCCCCCCCCCC